TCCCGGGTTTTGTGTCTCCTGTGATTCTTCCTTGTAGTGCGTCTTAGTAAAAATATTCAGTGTTTGTCTCGATATTAGCTAATATTAATAATAATAATAATCATAAAATCTAAATAAAAATAGTTAAATTTTTAAGTGTACCTGTGATATGCTCGAACCTAGTTTGTAGTTTGTTTACCTCCGCATCATCGGATTGAAGAAGACCGTCGAAGGGTTTGCTATAATTGTTTTTTTCTTTCTTCCATTCAACAGGTTTAAGCGATGGGGGCAATGCTGAAATATCCGAGGGGTCAGTTCATGACCTTTCTGGTTCTTCTCGTGCTGGGACAGGTGTGCAGCAACGGTAAGTCTCAGTTTTCTATTTATTCTTGATCTGAACGGTGCCGGTGGAGAGATACCAGGAAGCGTATTTGAAACATCGAACTTTAAACAAGAATTTAGCTGTAAACCATTCAATGAAATGACAAATGATTGTCAATATAAAATAATATATTGTTTTATTAGGAGTAAAAATTGCACTTTTTGTAGCTAGGCTGTACGTTCGACATACAGCTGAGGCACAAGCAGTCATTTTTACTCCGAATAGAACATGCTATTTTTTTTAAACGCCCACAAATAATTTTTAAACAATTTTAAACGTTTCAATTAATATAAAAATATTTCAATGTAATACTTTTTTCAATCACGTCGCAAAAATTAATAATTTTGTGACGTTTGAAAATAAGTAATTTTAACGCTTAGACGTACAAGCACTTGCCTAAGCACAAAAGTACGAAAATATATTACTAAATTGTCAAATTCAACGGTCGTAACTATAGTTTCTTCATATATAATTGCTTACAAGGTATTACTTTTATCTTTTTTATTATTTGTAACGTTTGAAATTGTTTACAAAATTATTTGTGACGTTTGAGAAAAATTGCATGTCCTATTCGGAGTAAAAATGACATTTTGTGTCTCGTTTGTAATGTCAAACGTCCAGACGCTACAAGCAGTATTATTTTTTCTCCTAATAAAACAATATACTACCGTATGATCGAATAAAAACGGCGTCAGCGATGGCTATGAAATGAAGATCGCTGTCATTTTATATGTAAAATTATATGGGAAATGTCATCGATCGTCATTTCCAAGCCAACTGAACGCCGTTTTTTTTCGATCATACGGTATTATACTAACTTAATATATTATATATATTTAAGAGAATATATAAATGAATATTTTCCAGTAAAAATATGAGGAGAAATTCAAGTTTATAAATAATTCATTAAAACTTAAGAGCTGAATTTTTAATCTATAATTGAAATGAATTATGTAAAATTTGTTGAATTTATTTTACCTAGAATCCACAGCAACCTTTGAATAATTAGATTTTAATCTTAAAATATAATTAAAGTGAAGATTAATCTTTATTGTTTTCTGACTTTTCTATTTTATTTGTTAATGGTCAAAGATTTTGGATGTATCGAGGAGGTAATTTTGAAATTTTAATTTTACATAGAGTTAATCAAATTATAAGTACAAGAATGTGTAAACTATCTCTAGTAATAATGTACCTTGATCGTTAAATATTTATTTAGTGTTTATTAGTGAGTGTGTCTTAAATAAGTGCAAATATTTTCAGGGGTGGTAGATCTCAAAATAACCGAGTTATTTTTTTTTCTGAAAATTTGAAATAAAAAATATTTTTTCTTAAATTATGAGAATCACTGGATCTATTCTGTTTTCTTTCTTGTAAATTTAATCTACTACCTACATATGTTGACATATTATCAAGAAATTGTATTTTTAACAAAAAAACTAAAAAAAATCCAATATTTTTTTCAAAAAATTCCAACTTTTCAAAAATTTTATTAAAAACCTTATAGACGTGTGGGTGAATGTTGCAATGTTGCAATAATTATATTATTTTGATTGATGGCTTTCCTTTCTGTAATAATACAGTTAAAATATTAGAACCTAGAGACAAAGTTTAAAGTTTATTATACACATACAACTGTCTTTCCGTGTTTACTAATGCTTGCATTCTATTATAGTTAAGTTCGGAATTAGATTAGCGGTAAAGTAATGAAGTCGATATTTTTCCTACTTCGACCAAGTTTTCCTTAAGCAGTGACAAGTTTAAAACAAACTACGTTCAAGAATTTATATTGACATTAATTCGAGTAGAGTTAATATTTATTTTAAGTTGCCGGGGCTGTCTTCTCTCACTCTACCTCCCTCTCTATGTTGGTGGCTTTTCAAATAATTACTTTCAGTTAATGCAGGAAGTTGAGTGAGGCATAACTGATTTGTATGCTAATACCATATTTTTATAACGATATTATGCCGTTGGGTTTTCAATTCTGTTTAGCTAATGTTTTTTTTGATATGTCGAGATATTTTAAAAATACGTGTAGTTGATTTTTTACTAATTAAAATTGACAGATATATTTCGAAAAAATACTGTTTTAATTTTGCGAGTTTTTTGATGGAAATGTTTGATATATATTGATGAAAATTGAAATATTTTTTAACCTCTAGTTGGAAAAAAGGTTTTATAACGTATACTAAATTCTTTAATAATAGTTTCACTCAACCAGTATGTGAATTATTATATTTATTTATAGAATGTTCCCGGATTGTCTTTCCAAGAGGAAAAACATTTTTATTATTGACATTTTAAGAAAAATGCATTCTTCATAAAAACTTGCGTGTTGATTTTTCCTTCGATTATGAGCTGTATTTCTTCATATTCTGAGTGCCGCATTATATGTCCAAGGTAGGAAGTCTTTTTGATTTTAATTGTGTCTGTTGGGTGTGCACGAGTTTTCGTTCTGTTTAAAACTTCACAATTTGTTGTTCTGGAGGTCCAACTTGTCCTCAGCATCTGACAATACATTCACATTTCAAACGTATTAAGGCGTTTGATGTCTTCTTGTTTTAGCGTCCATGTTTCGTATCCATATTAAAGTAGGGGCCATATATAACATTTTAATGTTCTTAGCCTCGTTGGTATAGCTATTCTCGAATGGCATAAGAACTTCCGCATGTTGAGGAAACCAGCCCTAGCTATGTCAATCCTTCTTCTGATTTCCTTAGAGTGGTCTAGCTGGCTGTTTAATTCCCTGCCCAAGTAAATATATCTCTGCGTGGTTTCGAGATAGACGCCGTTTACTATTATGTCGGTATTTTCATTGTCTTGCGGATGTCTGCCGAAAATCATAGTTTTTGTCTTGACGGTGTTAATCTTTAGACTCATCCTGATACTTTCTCCTGTCAGTTTGTCCATTAGGGTTTGCAGCTGGTCTTCGGATTCTGCTAATACCACGGTGTCGTGTGCGTATCTTATATTGTTTATAATTTTTTCATTTATTTTAGCCCCTTCTGGACAATTTTGAAGCGATTTTCGGATTATATATTCGGCATAAACGTTTAACAATAATGGTGACAATATGCATCCCTGTCTAAATTTCTATACCAACAACATAACCTTTAGATTGAATTCATTTATTTCTCATTTGGGTTTGATTAGTGTCATTATTATGGAAAACTAATTTAAATGTAATTAAAAATATTATTATTTTATTTACTTTTTGGTTTGTTTTGATGCTAGAGATAGCTTTAATCTGATAAATAAATATTCGAATTTCTTAAATTGATTGCCAACCAAATGAGTAAAACCAGAAATGCCCACTATGTCATATATTGTTTTCGTAGTATCTAGATTAACTCTCTGCACTCTTAATAACTAAAGCTCACATATATTATTTATTATAAACTTGAATTAAAGTTTAAATTTAAGTGTCTTTTTATACATAATTCGCAGGTACATGATTCACAACTATTTTTAGAGTGTAACTTATGTATATTTATCAAATTTGCATTTTTAAATAAAATCTATCAAGATTAATCACTCTTTATCTTACTCTTCTCGAAATAATATTATCATAGGTACAAACAGTTTAAAATCAATATACCCTTTTTATCTAAAAAACACTAGGTTATAGATACATAGAGGAAAAATTGGCACTATATTTAGAAACAAAAGTCAATAGGGGGGCCAGTAAACGACACCCTTAAAATTTACATTGGAATTTCTATACCGGGTTGTGCATCGGGGTTGGAAGCATAGGAGGTCCTATGTAAATTTTAATCAGTTCAAATATTGGCTCCCCTGTTGATTTTACAGGGAAGTTGTAGACTTATTAAAGGTCTGCGTGTGCTGAATGCACATGTCAAATTTGAACAATTGTGGACAAGCCGTTTTTAACTAATTTAAGAAAAACGGCATTTATTTTTAAATTAAATTTGCTAACTAGGCAAATGTTAACATATCTTAAGTTGTCAACCTATAATTGAATGCAATTTGTTGTGCCTACGGTTAGTGTGTCCGTTATGAAATTTTGTAATTTAATATTTGTTCAAAATAGATAAAAGCCTAATGTTTAGGATATTCAGATGCAAAAACCGCAAAATGGAGAAATTTTGGGTCAAATTTAAAGTGTTATATTTTTTATTATTTTTAGCTCTATTTTCTTGATTTTTTTAGCAAGATGTATATAATTATATCAACTTTAATTCGTAAACTCAGCTTTTTATAAACTTTATTATTTGGCATATTATACAGGGTTAATCGAGGGGTTGTTTTTTACCTTAACTTTAAAACATGCTGTGCAATAATTTCGTGTGTAAATTTTCCTAAAATATAATTTTATGGTCAGAACCATTTTGTTTTTTGGATCATGTAGGGCTTTGGTTAATTTTTAATAGCGAAATGAACTTTTGCCACCAACAATTTGCAATTTTTTCAATTATCATTCCTTTTTGAAGTTATTGTTCAACATGACAAGGCGGCTTTGGTGATTATTGTGAACTATATACTACTATGAACTACCCATCATGTTTGATGTTTGGGAAATGCTTGGCAGGAGGGTTAGAGGTCACGAAGCGGTACCAGCTTCATTAAATGAACTTTGCTTGGTCCTTAAAGAAGACCGGGAAAATATAACGCAATATGATATATGCAACCTCAATGACAGTATGAACGGACCTATACAGGCAGTTATAGCAGTCAAGGGAACTACCCTAATACAAAGTATTAGGGTAGTTTTTACACTTTTTTTTCTGTTTGTATGATGATGTTTTCTTTAATATCGTTAGTTCTGTTATTGTTATTAATGTTTATTAAAAGCCAGGCTGTATCGTTTGTCTTTAACGTTTTTTTTTAAATTCAGTATAGAGTATCCAATGCAGCGTATTATGACGTTATGACAGTAGTCACCAAAACCATCTCGTCATTTTAAAAAATTACATCAAAACGTAATGATAATTGAAAAAATTGCAAATTGATCGTGATCACTT